TATATATATATATTCACCCACCTACACATATATATTCACCCACCTACACGTATATATTCACCCACCTACACGTATATATTCACCCACCTACACGTATATATATTCACCCACCTACACGTATATATTCACCCACCTACACGTATATATATATATTCACCCACCTACACATATATATTCACCCACCTACACGTATATATTCACCCACCTACACGTATATATTCACCCACCTACACGTATATATATTCACCCACCTACACGTATATTTTCACCCACCTACACATATATTTATTCATCCACCTACACGTATATATTCACCCTACACGTATATATATTCACCCACCTACACGTATACATGTCCCACCTACACATATATATTCACCCACCTACACGTATATTTATTCACCCACATGTATATATATTCACCCACCTACACATGTATATATATTCACCCACCTACACGTGTATATATATTCACCCACCTACACATGTATATATATTCACCCACCTACACCTGTATATTCACCCACCTACACCTATATATTCACCCACCTACACCTATATATTCACCCACCTACACCTATATATTCACCCACCTACACCTATATATTCACCCACCTACACCTATATATTCACCCACCTACACCTATATATTCACCCACCTACACCTATATATTCACCCACCTACACCTATATATTCACCCACCTACACCTATATATTCACCCACCTACACCTATATATTCACCCACCTACACACCACCTACACGTGTATATATTCACCCACCTACACGTGTGTATATATATTCACCCACCTACACGCATATTTTCACCCACCTACACGTATATATATATTCACCCACCTACACGTATATATTCACCCACCTACACGTGTGTATATATATTCACCCACCTACACGTATATATTCACCCACCTACACATATATATTCACCCACCTACACAAATCCTTTTACCCCTTACACATGTATTCATTCACCCCCTTAACATGTCTATTCCTCCCACATACATGTCCCTCTGTATTTCGTATGACGGACCTTCTGCATGGACAGGATCATGGAGACGGCGCGGAGGGAGAATTCCAGGACCACCAGCGCTCCCACCCGCGGCCCCAGGAACGCGTAGATGACGCTCAGCAGCACCAGGTGCAGCAAACCGCGGAGGCGGGACTGAGATCCGAGCCGCGGGGCTTTATCCTGTCTGTCCGGATCGCTGAGAGAGGGGAAGTGTCCATTATTATCAGCCAATCAGACGTCAGCTCTCGTGTCTCCACCCAGATGATACGTGACATGGCTCATCATATTACAGGAGGGGGCGGAGACAAGACCAGTCACCCTGTACAAGGAGAGGGAGGAGCAGTGGGCGGTCTTTATTACAGGAGGGGGCGGAGACAAGACCAGTCACCCTGTACAAGGAGAGGGAGGAGCAGTGGGCGGTCTTTATTACAGGAGGGGGCGGAGACAAGACCAGTCACCCTGTACAAGGAGAGGGAGGAGCAGTGGGCGGTCTTTATTACAGGAGGGGGCGGAGACAAGACCAGTCACCCTGTACAAGGAGAGGGAGGAGCAGTGGGCGGTCTTTATTACAGGAGGGGGCGGAGACAAGACCAGTCACCCTGCACAAGGAGAGGGAGGAGCAGTGAGCGGTCGGTGAACAGGACGACTTACTTGAGACATTTGATGAAGAGATGAACCCGCATGAGGTTGTAGAGGACGGAGACGGCGCAGGCCCCGACCACACCTGGAAGAGAGAAGAACGGTCTCAGATTGGGGGGTCACTTCACTGAAATAGGTACCAGGAGCTAATGACTTCCCATGTATCAGGTCCTGGTCTGCAGTTACAGTGCAGACCACAGACAGGCTGAATGTACATAAAGCAATGACAGCCGGGACTTTGGCATTTTTTAACAAAACAGATGAACAGCAACCTCTGAGCACAGAGCGGAGCCCTCCCCTCCCCCGACCATCACCTTCCGTCCGGTCACAGCGGGGCCACAGACCTTCCCTGGGTGGGGCAGGAACAGTTAAGTGCAATCACCGATTCCACATATATAATGAGTCAACATGGCTGCCGCCGCCCCCC